GGGAGGGGGGGGGGGGGGGGGGGGAGGGGGGGGGAGAAGAGAAGGACGTGAAGGGATTCACAATGGCCCGAGCGAAGGGACGGAGTGTGCCTGTTGTGTGGTCAAGAGCGGGAGCCGGGGCGGAGAAGGCATTTCCTTTGGCGAGGTTGTTTGTGTACAGGGAACATAATAAATAAATCCCACGCTGATTGCATCGGGTGCGTGTTGCTGCAGCTGGAAAACGAGGGACTGTGGGACTCGGGTGGCTCCTGGAAAAGCCACCGCTTGCCCTCGGCTTCTCACCCCTCACGTTTGGCTGTGGCCACGGCCGTGATTCAACTGCGAAAGGGCCGCCGGAGATTTCTAGGTTTGAAAGCAGGCAGGGAAGCAAGGGGAGTGTCTCCGTTTTAGTTTCTGAATAAAAGCCACAGTTTTGGCGAGGTTGTTAAGGTTTGTGGTGCCTGGCTTGCGGCGGGGGGGGCACAGCACCGCCGGGGCGCTGGAATACAGAGGTGTTTCCAGGGATCTACCAGAAACGGGTTGGAAAGCTCTCAGGGCGGATCCCCGGTAGGGGTTTCGAAAAGCAGCTTTTTTTGCTGCTTTCATCCACAGCGATGGCTTGTGTCGCCGCTGCCTGTGCTTCGTAGCGTTGTGCGGGCTGCATACCGTTTTGGAATGCTTCATGGAACAGACCGGGATCCCCTTTTCCCCTTCCCCATCCCGCTGAACGGAGAGAAGTCCTCTCGGGGCTCGGGCGTGAGGGCTTTTCCCCCAGAGCCCCAGGTTTCCAGCTCCTGCCAAGGAGTGCAATGCGAAAGCTCTCCCTGACAGATGGTTCTTTGCCACGGTGGGATTTCTTCACTTCTTTTCTGGCCGCCAGATTGTCTTTTTGCAACAGAGGAAGGGGAAAGCCGGAGCTAAGTGTCAACAGCCTGTGACAAGAGACTGAACTCAGTCATCCATAAGCAAGGAGGAATTTCAATTCAGGGTTTGGGAAGTCCCGTGTCTATCATCTGCTCTGGGCAGGAAGACTCAGCAGCTCTTTCCTCCGGCTGGGAGAGCATGACCTCTCCCGGGCTCCCGGCACGCAGCAGGGCCAGCTGAACCCGCTGCGCTTGGCTCCGTTGGCCAAGCTTCCCTCTTCTGAAGGAACAAATCCAGCTCATCTCTTTGCCAGACTAGGTCCTCTTTGCCTTTGGTGTCAGCTGGGTTTGAAATACGTTGTTGTGAAGGGAGGAAAAAAGTATCACAAAGCAAAAGATTTCCTGAGCTTCCGTCCCTGCTCCATCCAATTGTCCCTTGAAAGGCCCCAGCCGGGGCCGCAGGGGCTGGAGAGAGCAAAGAAATAAGGAAGGTTTCTTACTTTTCAGCAAACCAGAGCTACTCTGAGGCTGCCAGCGTGTGGGTGGGTGTGCCTGGGGGCAAGGGGATCCTCGCCGGAGATGCTCACCCCAAACACCAGGATCCCAAATTGAGAGAACCAGGTTGGGTGGCTAAAATTGGGGGTGGGTGGGTGTCAATCCCCTCCTAGACCTCCTTCACCCTCGCTGATCTCGCAGGCGACGAGGCCAAACGGTGGAACCTTTACGGGGGGTGTTTCGCGGTGTTTGGGGTGAGGATGGACATCTCCTGGGCTGCGGATCCGCCGACTCCTCCGAAGTCCTTCTCATCCTTTGGGTTGTGCAGACATCTAGAGGCCTTGCCGGGAATGACATGGGAGTGATTTTCCTCCGTCCTCCCACGCGGGCTGGTTGTTCGGCTTACACACGCGACAGGCTAATGGTATGGGTGTATTCGGCCTGCCCAGTCCTAGGTACAAAGTTTAAGAGCGGGCAAGTGGAGCTGCGTTTAAGTATGGCTGTTTTGGGCCGATTTCTTGTGTTTTGGGCCGATTTCTCACGTTTTGGGCCTATTTCTCGCGTTTTGAGTGTGCTGCTTGTGTATTTGTAAAAGTGAGAATGAGCGTTAATCTTTACTTTGTGTATTTACAAGAAGAAGAAGGAGGAACGGCTGTAAGAGGCTGACAGCCGTGGCATTTGCCACTTCATGAGGGCAACGGGGAGGTTGGACCTCCTGAGATCTGGCTTCTCTCCACCTGCTGCCCAAATGCCGCTGGCAGCTTATTTATTTATTTCGTTTTCCTGTGATTTGAGGTTATTTTTCATGCCAGATGAGGAGGAACGCGAGGAAGCGTTCCGCACCGAGACGTGCCCGTTTCAGCCACGTTCCCTGCTGGTGATGCTGCTGAAGGCGTTGGCCCTTGCGAACATGAGGAAGCCGAATCTAACCCTGAACTTGGTGGAGGAAGTTCTCGCCTTGGCCTTAACATCTTGCTAACAAAACATGCCGGGATTTGGCAGGAAACACGCCGAGGAGAGCTGCACGTTCGGGCGGCTCTTAAACCGGTGCTGCCATTTTGGAGACCCACTTCTGATTCGGACGGCTCTGGTTTGCAGGTTAGAGTCTTGGCAGCTCCAGCTTACACAGCTGCGTGCCCTCACCACAACACCGGGAGCTGGCAAACGTGGCCACCTCTGATGATCAGGCTGGCTTATGACACGTAGAAGCAGCTGCTAATGAAGGTTCAGGTTTGGCTACTACACCTCGTGCCCCAAGGCCTTGGCATTTCTCTAACTACTAGAAATCAGAGCGAGACGGGCTGTAAGAGGAGCGGATTGTCCCAGACTTCTCACACCTTCCTGCGAGACCCGGTGCTGGCTGCTGTTGACAACCGCCTACCAGGGCAGGCGAACCCCAGGTCTGATCCAGACTGGGAATTCCCTTGCTCCAACCGTCCAGGTTGGGCGTCTGGATGCCGAACGGCCCAAACTGGGCTCGCTTTTGAAAGTGCTGGCCGGTGTCACCAGTGTCTTTTTTAGCAGGTGACATATGCTAGGAAATTTAAGGGCTTGATCCAAAGTCTACTGACGTCAATGGAAATACTCTTGTTGACATCAGTGGGGCTTGGATCCACGCCTACGTTCCACTTCTTTATTTCAGACTGCAATCTGTCAGGGGTGGAAATGTCTCCCTTCTACTTACAGACTTTAGCACGCCTTTGAAAGGTCTTACTTCCTCTGCAATCATTAAGTTGAGGATGCAGAGTACAGAACAATTTGGAGAACAGGCGCAAACCCATTCAACGCTGTGCACGCTCCTTCTGCGTTGCTGGACCCCCGCCAGGCTGCAGCTCAGGTTTAAGCATCTGCGTCGCGTGTGAGGGAGGTGGTGGCCTTGTGACGTGCTGTGACTCCCTGATACCTGCTCCAACCAGAACCAGAGCTTCGGACCTCCGCGAGCTGCTCAGGGCGGTCCGGCTCACCTCTTCCAGAGAGTGCTGGCTAAAGTCCTCTCTTCAAGGA